TCCGCACACGAACGTATCAAATTCTTGTACACGAGTATAGTTAAATTTAATGCAACAGCCTTTTAAGTAGTTGCGTAATTCTAATAGCGGTGGTAAATTGCCAAACGAATCAAAATAAAATACAGTTTTATTTTTTTTATAATAAGCTACCCAGTGTGTACCACTACCCGTATCATCATCTAAATTCACTACGGCACATTCAAAAGTTCGTGGTGTTTTAGGTAACTTGTCTCGTGAAAAGACGTTACGAAAATGTGATATTTTGAACGATCTGGCGTATTTTATTATATCATCACTGTTTAGCGGACGATCACTGGGTAGCGTATGAATTAGTTTTTTTGAAATGGCTTCAAATACAATGCTGATCCTCTTTTTAAAAGCATACCGCTACCGATTTTAACAGGAGTTTTCGCGTCTTTATTTTTTCTTACTTCGTTTACCGCTTTGATTATATTCGCGGCACCACCTGCTAATGATCCTAAAGCAGACAAACCGGCGAAAATAGGAATCAAGGGCAGTGCTCCACCGAATTTTGGTATTTTTATAGTGCGAGGAGTAGTAGGTTTTCGAGCTGAGTTTTTGAATGTTTTTTTAGCCGCTGCGAGTGCAACGACACTGGCTTTCTTTTCACTTTTACCTTTCATATTACGCATTGCCCTTTTACTCGAACTGACAATCGAGTTGAAATTCACTCCCATCCCGAGTTTGCGTTTCGCTTTCATTATATTGGTAGTAGCGTATGCCGCTAATTTTTCTCCAAACGTACTGTCTTTCGCCTTAACACGTTCCCAAGCACGGTTTTGTAACACGTAATCGGCTTGATGTCGATTTTTAAGATCCTTATATTTACTATAAGCTATATCGTGATCGCGAGCTGCCGAATCCAACGGATTTTTTCCGGGGTCACCACGAGCCAATCGCTTTTCCAACCGCGTCCCTGGTCCTAGGTACTGATACGTTGGCCAATGAACTTCAACTGGAAGATTATTTATAAGAGAATTGACTATACCGTAACCGCGTTTAGTATTGTTTGATCGTCGACATCGAACCATCATTTAAAACGGCGAAAGTATTGCATCAATCTTTTATACGTAATGTTTTTCGAAGTGCAAACGTGTAAGTTACCGATTTCTAATATTGATTTGAATAAATCCGAATCANAAAAATAGGAATTAAGGGCAGCGCTCCACCGAATTTTGGTATTTTTATAGTGCGAGGAGTAGTAGGTTTTCGAGCTGAGTTTTTGAATGTTTTTTTAGCCGCTGCGAGTGCAACGACACTGGCTTTCTTTTCACTTTTACCCTTTATATTACGCATTGCCCTTTTACTCGAACTGACAATCGAGTTGAAATACACTCCCATCCCGAGTTTGCATTTCGCTTTCATTATATTGGTAGTAGCGTATGCCGCTAATTTTTCTCCGAACGTACTGTCTTTCGCCTTAACACGTTCCCAAGCACGGTTTTGTAACACGTAATCGGCTTGATGTCGATTTTTAAGATCCTTATATTTACTATAAGCTATATCGTGATCGCGAGCTGCCGAATCCAACGGATTTTTTCCGGGGTCACCACGAGCCAATCGCTTTTCCAACCGCGTCCCTGGTCCTAGGTACTGATACGTTGGCCAATGAACTTCAACTGGAAGATTATTTATAAGAGAATTGACTATACCGTAACCGCGTTTAGTATTGTTTGATCGTCGACATCGAACCATCATTTAAAACGGCGAAAGTATTGCGTCAATCTTTTATACGTAATGTTTTTCGAAGTGCAAACGTGTAAGTTACCGATTTCTAATATTGATTTGAATAAATCCGAATCAAAACGAATGAAACACGGTCCCTTACTACCTGATAGTATTCGTTGTATAATTTGTGGACCGTCTAATTGCGGTAAAACAAACGTTATGTATAATTTGCTGACGGAAGAAAACGGTTTAAAATTTGAAAACGTTTATCTCTATACAAAAACACCGGATCAGCGCAAGTATAAAATTTTAGAAAATATTATCAATGATGTTGAAGGGGTAAACATAAACGTTTACACGGACAACGATCAAGTAATACCACCGGAAACCGCAACTCCTAATTCTATATTTATATTCGATGATGTCGTATGTGAAAAACAAAACAACATTGCATCGTATTTTTGTAGAGGGCGACATAATGGCGTCGATATATTTTACTTATCGCAGACGTATTCTCGTATACCAAAACAACTCATCAGAGACAATACAAATATGATTATTCTGTACAAACAAGATGAAACTAATTTAAAACACATATACGATGATCACTGTTCGTCGGACATGAGTTTTATAGANTTGTTCGTCGGACATGAATTTTATAGAATTTAAAGAAATGTGTGCCAAATGCTGGAATAGTGGGAGATTTGAATTTTTGATGATAGCGAAAGATTTTCCGTTAAACGAGGGAAGGTATCGGAAATGCTTTGATATTTATATCAAAAAAAGTGATTTTTAAACACTTGGTTATTAGTACAAAATGGAGACTGAGGAAAATATAACGTCGAGTATTATAAAAGCTAAAAAAAGTATTAGGAAAAAATTACTACAACTCAAACGCGGTGTTGACGATACTAGAGAGTTTATACGCAAGCATGCGTCTCCTATTGTTGAACCTCTTGAAGAAATTGCACATCAAACAAAAATTTTTTTTAATCATCAGAAATCAAATAGCTCTGATGATAGCGATAACGTTGATAAAAATAATACGGTTGTGCTATCGTCTCCGATACAATATCAAAAACCACAACAATCGAATTTTGATGCAGTCTACGGCGTAACCGTTAATGATAACGGTGAATTTAAGATGGGCGATAAAACAGTAATCATTGATGAACATATGGGTAGCATAAAAGTCGGTAGTCTAAAACAAGTGTCATTGACAAAAGGATTACATGAATTGTTATTTAAAAAGATGCCCAACATCGATTTAATCACTTTTGATGATCTGTTAACGTATAAAAACTGTCTTATCCACACTAGAGTTCATAGAAACAAAAACGGAAAATTGAAAACTAATCCAGGATATAAATATAAAAATATTATAAAACAGTTATTTACCGGACGTGAACCACTGTTTAGTGAAAACGAAAAGTTTGGTAGTGGACTACCGTTTTTATCCGTTACGAATAAACGAAAAGAATACGTATACTGGGACGATATAAATGAATTAATCGAACGGTTGGNAGACGATATAAACGAATTAATCGAACGGTTGGCTATCTGACGCGCATCTAAGCGTGCGGGTAATACGGGTGTAAATAACGAAATAATATCACTCGAAGAAGAACTTAGAGAAAACGGAGTGATAGAATGAAATCCGTGAAAGAGCAAATAGCGGAGGAGTTACATGCACAAGCTAGAAAAAAATTTCCTAGACGTATCGTAACGCCTTACGGTAAAGACAACACGTGGCAAGCGGATCTCGTCGATATGAAAAAGTATTCCAGCAAGAATAAAAATTATACTTTTATTCTTACGGTAATATATACAAAATATGCATGGTGTGTTCCATTAAAAAACAAAACCGGTAAGGTAGTTGTCGCAGCTTTTGAATCAATAATAAACAACTCCAATAGATGTCCATTGTACATGACAACGGATAGGGGATCAGAATTTTTCAACAAAGAGCTGAGAACTTTTCTGAAATTGAAAGGTATTAAACATTTTCCTGCATATTCGGCGGTGAAAGCGTGCGTAATCGAACGTTTCAACCGTACGCTTAAAGAACGTATGTGGCGAAAATTTACAGTATCGGGGTCTTTCCAGTGGTTATCATTATTACAAAAAGTAGTAAATGATTATAACGATAGTATTCATTCGGCGATTCGTCAAACACCGACACAAGCGTCGGAATATCCAGATAACGTACGGTTTTATCGTTTACCGAATTATTCGAATATTAAACGAAAATTATTTAATATTGGTGACGCGGTTCGTATTAGTAAAAATAAAGCCGCTTTCGTTAAAGGATACACACAGAATTGGTCAAATGAAATATTTTTCATACATGAAATAAAACATTCAATACCCGTTNAAAATAAAACATTCAATACCCGTTATATACGTGTTGAAAGATGAAGACGGTGCGTTAATTAACGAAACGTTTTATCGAGAAGAGTTGAAAAAAACGAAATTCCCTAGTACGTTTCTCGTTGAAAACATTTTAAGACGTAAAAATAATCACTATCTAGTTAAATGGTACGGATTGAAAAAAACTAGTTGGATACACAAAAACGATTTAGTATAATTTCGACGCTGATCCAAGATGGAAGAATCAATAGTTGTCGATTTTCAATGCATCGTAGATTACAGGTGTCAATTAATTTTTAAAGAATTGTCAGTTTATGCGTTTAATACTTTACATCATTACGTGTTTAAACCACCTGATAATTTTTACATGACAACCAAGTCAGCTAGAGTCAATTCGTGGTTATATCGTAAAAAACATAAATTACATCANACGTGGATATATCGTAAAAAACATAAATTACATCATATTGACGGCAATGTCGATTATTCAAAACTACAGACGATAATGGACGGTTTCGCCAATCGATGTTTACAATTTTACGTTAAAGGTTTACAAAAAAAGAAGTTTCTCGAAAGATTTACAAACAAACCGATAATCAATATGGAAGATTATGACTGTCCGAGAATTGATGTACTTTTACAAGATAATTCCGATGTATCAACGATTACATGTTCATTGCATAAACACCATGATGATTGTTGTACGAATAATCGTATTAAAGTATTATGTATGTGGTTAAAAAATAATTGTATATTGTAAATATATTTTATTTTTTTTCAAAACATGTTTATAGTAAAAATTATCAGCTGTACAGTTTATTTCAATAAATATATTATTCTGTATTATTTGTGTATAGTTATTGTATAGTGTACGTTTTTACTAGCGGTTAAAATATAAAATAATGACGTTTAACCTCTAAATTGTTAGAGAAGTAAAAACACACTCCCCCATCCGACATAAACGATCTTGTATAAAAGATCGAATTAAATAGAGGACATTATTTCACAGTATTTATGATTATAATGATAGAATGTATTCTCCTTGTTATAAGCGCTTAGTGTGATTTTTTCATGGCGTAAATTAAATTTCAATGAATATCATTGTTTTTAGTCGTCTACTGCGTGTGTACATTATAATCCATATAATGTTATACATATTGATAACATTGAGTACACAATCACATGAAATAATTATTTCAATAAAAAATTAAAATTTAGTGACATACGTAAGAGTAAAAATCTTCACCGAAAACGTAAAAAAGTAAGTATTACAACATACTTTTTCAACATCGAAAATACTCAGTTTTTTCAACACGGAGAAAAAATTATAATTTAAAGGAACAATTGAGTAACTATAGATTCAATGTATTTTATACTTATTAACTTTTATTTTTATTCGTAGGTAGAATAATATTATACAACTGTTGATCGTCTCAGAGCATACCTTGACAGTATTATAACATACTATAAATTTAATCATAAATATTAAGTATAATAGTATATAATTTTTTTTTAGTAATAATAAACCTAATTTATTATGATAAATAATGTTATTGATTTTTTTAGAATCTATTATTCCGTGAAGATAATTAATTTTCAAATACACATAAAGGAAGAGGTCGCATTGCAAAATGGAAACGCTATGAAAACATTTTATTATAAGTTTAATATTAGTGAATAAGTTAATTAGATAGAAAATTATGATATTAAGATTCATATTATCCATTAAATACGTTTTATTAATTTTCATTTTCATACAAATCATATATTTTTTTTAAATAATAGTAACTTAACTATAAATTTATTTTTACAACCAATTTTTAAAACCATCATCAAATTTACTCAGATATATAAATTAATTACAAAGCATATGTATTTTCAATGATAATAACTTAACTATACATTTATCTGTGTTAATAGATTAACTTAAAATTTAATCCGATATTTATAAATCAATTAATTATAAATATTTACAATTTACAACTTTATAATATTTCTAAACAACAGTAACTTAACTTTATATTTATTTCTGACATCAAGTTTTTAAATTAATATTAAATTTATACAATTTCTATATCATAAATTAATTATTTACAAATTTACATAGAAAAAACGTAAAGTTAAATATTTACAAATAATGTAGAAGTACGCATCATATTATTATTTTTTAATCTGGTGAGGAGGGGGGGATGTCTTTATGACCCCAAGGTAATGTGTCATGACTGCCGGGTATTTGATACCGCTTGTCATCTTTAAATTCTAAAGCAATTTTATTAATTTTTTCTGTGTAGATTATATGTCTATACGAACGAAAAACATACATGCTGCGTAGAATTTTTAGGTGATGGTAACTGATACAATTCAAATAATCGCTCTCATCAATTGTTTCTTTTAAAACTCTTTTTTTTAACCCCTTATTTTTTTTTTCGACGTCCNAACCCCTTATTTTTTTTCGACGTCCCCCCCGCTACGCATCATGTATGTTTTACTACATATACCTATATATTTGTGTAAAATAAACCCCTCAAATTCATCCTTCATCAGTCCAATTACTTTTTTATTGACAAGCGGTATGCCATACACATTATTGGGGTCATAATTCGACGTATCAAATTTATTTAAATTATTTTTAATATCATTATAAACATCCACAGTTCGTATTTCATAAAATAGAGAATCTGTATCCGTATACAACAACTTACACATATTCCCGTATATTTTCTTCATGAAATTATAATGGAAATCGTATATGATAGTCTTTGCTATTTCCAAAACGGAAAACCCGACATAGCAAGGTCTTTCATACATGATTTCAGTTTTTTTCATATGGATGGCTGTTATATTATTATTAAAGATTGATACACTATGAAAATTTGGTTTCGAAATCAACACACTAGCCCCGAATCGTTTTCCTATATTTTGCCATTTGGTTATAATTTTTACATCTAATCTTCTTTCGGGGTTTTCGAGACATTTACCATAAATTGAATTGATCATGAGTTTAAAGAATTCAATTTCGAAAGCCGACTTGGATTCCATTCGTTTTCTAGTGTTTAAATCTATATACCCTTTCATCCAAGCCGACTGTTCGAATCGAAGTACTTTATTAATTTTTTTCACCTTTAGTCCTAAACTAATAGCCTGTTTTAGACATCNTTTTTTTTCAACTTTAGTCCTAAACTAATAGCCTGTTTTAGACATCGATAATGAATAACATAATTTTTTTTGTCATATAAATTGGGTATCAATTTTTTAAATTTTGATTTCGGAGGTTTTATATTTTCGGGGCATAGTGGTAAATCTGAATGAAGGTCATGTAAATTATCACTGTACTCTAAATCAACGTTTAAAATAACCCCCCAATCACTATCATCGTCAATTTCCATGACATCTAACGCATCGATTTCTGTTTCTTCTAACCATTTGAAATTTCCAAGTGGAAGGTGTTGACTAAGCGCTGCGCCATAGAGATTATTAGCATCGAGATATAATAGATATTTTGACGGTTTCGACGAGTCGAAATTGTCGCAATATTTATTATTAGCTTCACTATAATGAGGTACGCATTGAGAGACACCCCCACGAATTCCATTATTAATGAAACTAATCATCTCGATGTCCGTAATTAATTCCAATTTTACCCCAGTAATTCGTTTCATGGCATCGAAACTCAATCCTGGAGTAGTGATATAACAACAAGGATCAAGACCATAATTTACTAAACACATTTTTCTGAAATTTTCAAAGATATCCGCTAAAAGAAATACGTCTGTTTATAAATATAAATCCGAATAATCCCCCAATGTCGAACAATTAAATTTTTCCCATATTTTTTTGCGTGCGCGTAATCCTTATCTGTTATATCACTCATATTTAATATACTACGGAACGAGGATTTGGGAGGTAATGTACGTCCATGTCAGTCACATATTCATAATGGAATACTCCCTTACGACACATCATCATTCGTGTACATTCTCCTTGTAATGGTAAATTGTTCGGGCATTAAAGTTTCAGCTAATTTTTCAATAGAAGAAGGTAAAAAGTTTAATGAGTCTATAAATTTCAACGTCAACCGCTTATTATTAGTTGTTTTAATTGTTTTTCTAATTGACATGTATTTCTCATTAGTTTTTGCCACTACTTCAATGCCCTCATCATCATCCCCAAATCCAAGTTCTGTAATAATAAAATGCGAATCATAATTCTGCATGTTATGCAGAATTACGGGAACAAATGACGGAACCGTGCATTTTAGGTTACAATCTCTATGCGCAGCACCACGATATTTTCCCGTTAAATGACAATGATCGAAAACCTATTCGTGATAACGTAATTCTCCGCCGCAAATATGACACACAGTTGCTAAATAATGATCTTGTTCTTGTTTTAAAGTTAACGGCATCATTTAAACGGAATTCGAGTAAATATCACTTATACGGTTTATATCTTCTCTTAGTTTCTCAATGAACACCTTCGCACAATTTTCTCCACGATATAGCTCCATACGATCCAAATTTTCATCGTATNACTCCATTGGATCCAAATTTTCATCGTATGAACATTTTATAAAATAATAAAAACTATGCGGTTCGTGAATGCTAATTTTGTTTGAAAAAGATTGTACCGGATTTGGATCGCATGTAGCTATAGGTTTTAATATCGATTCAAAATCGGCGTAGATGACAAATTCGACGGGGAATTGTTTATTATAATTTTGAAATTTCATGATGTTTTTGGGTGGTTTTGGTACAACCGTTTTTACACGCATACAATTTTCAAGCTGGTGTTGTTTTAGTTTTAATTCCGAATAAAAGAATAATAGACAACCATCACATAAGAACTTACGGGAGTTATGTTTGGAGAGCTGTGTGGATACCAATCGCTCTAGATTAGAAATACAACAGAAATGTCCGAAGGGTTTATCATTTCTATCTATAAACAATAAATTAACGTGTTTGCTACGTTTATATTCGGTTAAATGTAATGGACCCGCAATTTTTTCATTAGCATAAGTGTAAACATTTATGCTTATATTATTATTTTTTTCAAATTTTTTGATTTCTGAAAGAGTTATAGGTGAGTTAAATCCCGTAGTATTTAACACTGTATTATAATGTGGATAAGAATCGGGGTTACTCCTATCCACACCATGCGATTGAATCGGATATAAACTAGCAACCACGGCCCAAAAAAAACAATCTTCCCCCTCACATTCTATGTTTGTCAAAGCATTTTTACGAAGTAATTTTTTTGGAATTACCGTATTACACCCTCCCCTTATAGGATCATATTTAAAACAGTTAATATCCAAAAAAATTACACCCCTGAAAACCCATCCGCTCCCACGCGTTTCAACCTCTTCGGACTTATTCTGTAGTAGATGTTTAATAGTAGTAATCCAATCGGAAATACTACTTGATGGTGTTAAAACAAAAGGAGAAATCGAAAGGGTTTGTGTAATTGTGGGTACTTCTACATTAGCACTACTATTGACATTAANTTGTGTAATTGTGGGTACTTCTAAATTAGCACTACTATTGACATTAATTATTTTTTTATAAACTGTAACTAAATCTAAAGAAGTCTTTACCGCAATATGTTTTTTAATTGAATTCTTCCACACATCTTCAATGTCCGACGCATATCGTTGAATGAATTCGGGGATAGTAAACGGATCTATGTTATCAATTCTATGTACAACTATTTTGCCCGAAAAAACTGATTCTATTACTCTCGCACGCGATTTTTTTGCACAATCATCTGTAAATGAAAAATAATTTTTAAAACACAATTTCGACATTATTAGCAAGTTGATTTTCTTACTATTTGGTATCGATTGTTTAGTTTGCTGCGCGTGTGGAATACCTGTACCAGTCATTTCATTTTCTACGCCTGATAACGATAATTATTAATTAATATTAAATTTTATTTTTAATTAATGAATTCTCACTTACATACATCTTCAAATTCAATATCTTCTGAAAATCGCTCGATCCCTGAAACATAATTACATGATTATTATATATACATGCGTTTTCACTTTTATACTTACAGTTTTTACTATCCCCAGGATATACATTCACTATTTCTACATCTGTTGGTGTCGGATCAATTTTTTTAGCAGTTTCAAGTACTATAATAATAATAATAATAATAATAA